AAAAAAATGCGCAGCTCATACAGCTTACAAAATGGTATCATACATCTTTTTATCTAATACCACTACGAAGTTATTGCTATTGAGATGCAAAAAGAGTAAATACGACTAAAAATAAAAAATAAGTCTTAATAAATTTTAATAATAATAAAAAAAATCGGGTGTACATAAATCAAGCTTTATTCACAACAGGTGTTCAAGCTGTCTGCCACCGACTCTAATACACGCTCGACATCTTCTATTAGAGGCTCTACTAAGATAACGTCCATAGCGTCGTTCATTTGGAACGGTCAAAATGGGAGCCAAACTACCAATCCATTTATTTGGATACGTGGCATTTAAATAAGAAGGGACGTTTGTACCACAATGTGCAGGGCAGCCATCATTCTGTAGCCAATGGGATTCCCTTACCTTCTCAGGCACTTTTTCCACTAAGTTCAGGAGATTATTTTGCAAAAAATTTAAATAACTATGAGAAGATAAATTTACCGGCAGTTCGAAAGGACCAATAATTATCCCGTTCAATATACCAGTCCAATAAGTCTTAATTATTGATCATGCCAATACTCAAGACATTGTGCTTGACGAAATTCAGCAAGACCCTTCTGTAAGAACAATATCACGGCGTACTGGAATCCCGAAAACGACCGTGCACCGTGTACTGAAAATAAATAAATATCATCCTTACCATATTAGACGCGTCCAAGCTCTGCAACCGAGAGATTACAATGCAAGATTGTTTTTTTGTCAGCAAATGCTTGCAAAAATAGAAGAAGATCCACAATTCTTTGGAAAAATTCTATGGAGCGACGAATCTACTTTAAAAAAAAACGGATACTTTAATAATATGCATAATATGCACAGCTGACAACTCTCGAATCCAAATTTAATGCGAGAAGAGAGGTCGCAATACCGGTTCAAAGTAAATTATTGGACTGGTATATTAAACGGGATAATTATTTGTCCTTTCGAACTGCCGGAAAATTTATCTTCTCATAGTTATTTAATTTTTTTGCAAAATGATCTCCTGGACTTAGTGGAAAAAGTGCCTGAGAAGGTAAGGGAATCCCATTGGCTACAGAATGATGGCTGTCCTGCACATTGTGGTACAAACGTCCCTTCTTATTTAAATGCCACGTATCCAAATAAATGGATTGGTAGTTTGGGTCCCATTTTGACCGTTCCAAATGAACGACGCTATGGACGTTGTCTTAGTAGAGCCTCTAATAGAAGATGTCGAGCGTGTATTAGAGTCGGTGGCAGACAGCTTGAACACCTGTTGTGAATAAAGCTTGATTTATGTACACCCGATTTTTTTTATTATTATTAAAATTTATTAAGACTTATTTTTTATTTTTAGTCGTATTTACTCTTTTTGCATCTCAATAGCAATAACTTCGTAGTGGTATTAGATAAAAAGATGTATGATACCATTTTGTAAGCTGTATGAGCTGCACATTTTTTTTAAATAGCTGGCCACTTACGTTTTCATACTTTTTTTTTACATGAAACACTCTCAAACTACGCCAAAATTATTTTGGTATCAAATTTCAGGTTAAAAATTAAAGTTATTATTTTGTTTTTGAAAAAAGTATCATAGATACTTATATTATTTAATGTATTTCTAGTAGTATAGTCTATCAGGAACAAGATGACACCAAAAATGCCACAAATTTCATAACTTTTTTCTAAAAAAAATCATATTTTGGTATCACTTGGAATTATTTTTTTTAGATATTTTTTTCTGAGCGCTGGAGAGCTGTCCCGTGCGGGGTTCAAGGATTATCCATTCATTCTGGGACACCCTGTTATATATATATATATATATATTTATTTTTTTTCGTGACAGTGGGTATTTCTTTTCGTACAGTGTAAAACTTATTTATCTTGTTTCTGATCAATCCTAAATCAAAATTATCCAAGTTTTTTTTTTTTGCCACCTTTCCTCTTTTTACCAGGCGTACTAAATACGCCTCTGTTAGACCTGCCATTAGCAACAATTCGTCTTATGGTAGTATTCGAAACACCTGAAATAAAACAAAGTTTGTATACATAATTACATAGCACACGAAAATGCAATAAACTAAAGTATCAAGACGTGTCATTCCTACTAACCAGTCAACGCTTGCACATGGCTCAATATCGATGATTGTGTTTGTTCTGCACCTTGTTCATCAAGTATTCTTTGATAAACGTTGAAAACAATATTTCTTGCTTGCGATCGAAGAGGTTTCTTCGACATTTTCACCACTTTTTAACGGAAATTTGAAGTTAAACCAAAAACAATTCCTCGAAATCAATCGAAATTTCAGTTTTGACAGATGACTTTTTTTTTGTTGCCATATGAAAATCTCTATTTTTTTACTTTTTTTTTGCCCTCAGATTCTGGTAGACCTTTAGTATCTCGTCTCGAATTACGAGCGGTAATTCCATTCCCCCCATCAAAATCTTTGGCCAGCCTATAGCATGGGCCTGGTAGGCTAAGTACCTGGATGTCACCCTCACCAAAAGATTGTCATTCGGTCCCCATATTAAGACAGTACGCGACCGAGCCGTATTGCTACTCAGTCGACTCTACCCAATGATCTGCAAGTGAAGTATATTGTCCCTTCGTAACAAGGTGACACTCTATAAAATTTGCATATTCTGCCATGATCTATGCAAGTATAATATTCGCTCACGCGGCCCTCTTGCACAAAAATTCTCTCCAGGTCATCTAATCCCGCTTCTGCAGGATAGCCGTCCAAGCACCGTGTTACATAAGGAATGTTGACCTTCACGACGATTTAAATTCAGAACTGATACGTAAGTATCTTAAGGTACCGTCAGAACGCTACTTCGACAAAGCGGCACGACACGATAACCTACTTATTGTGGCCGCTGCTAATTATACATCGGACCCATGCAAAGCAAAACCGCCGGCGCCGTCACCCAAAACATGATCCTCCAGATCCACTGTTTTTGCCTGCAATGTTAATCCACATATTTAATGTTTACTCTAAGGTTATGGAAAGAACTTAATGGAATTGATCTCTTTTTTTTTCCTACCTAAGCTTTGAGAGGCTATTTCAGCGTAACCTTAACTAGTAGGTGAGCTCACGGGGCTCAAACCTGACGACGTTGCTAACACGAACCCTAGCAAGAGCCGTGCTTCGCAGAATCTACCACCGGATCGGAAACGCGACCCACTGAGAAGATCCGGCGAGAAACTCAGTGGGCTGTGTCTGTGGGTTAATTTACGAACGATGACCGGTGCTTGAGGTACCTAAAAGCACCGTTAGTTGATCGGGAGGATCCGAAATGACGTGTTTTGGGCGACGTTGACTGTTTTCCATTCTGTCCGCAGGATCGGGAATGATGATCTCTATTCATAAACACAATTACCGTGACGCTTTGTGACTGTTTTACGAAGTAGGATGTGAAATATACCAAACAAATCTCAACGAATAATCATAACTGTTGTCAATGTGGGTTAACTGTGTGTAGCTTGTTGTTGAGGAATAGCAGAGACTGTTACAGCAATACACGGACAACAACAGTAGGTGTAAATAGTTTAACAGAGCACGGAGGAAAAATTAATCGATTTATTTGTGTTTTTAATATTGCATTTCATTAGGATATATTGGAAAGTATAATAAACAAAATGGTGAATAAAGAATGTTAAATAAAACATGAGAAATTATACTTACGATAGTTAAAATTTTGGTCCCTTGAAACTTAAATTTTAATCAAGAATAATAATGTATTAAGATTGTAAGTCGAAACGAAATATAAAGTCTGAGTGATTGGTTAGCGAGAGAGAGCCTCCAAAGAACTTAATAATAATGCCACATAAGTCAGATCAAAGTCGCTATTTTATCCTTTGAGCCTTCTCTTTAATTAAAAGTTTCCAACCAACGCGACAATCCTTACGATTTTTTTTTCTTTACTAGTTGTTACTAGCTGTCCTTTATAAAGTCAATTTTTAGGAAAGCGTAAAACGTATTGTTTTTAATTTCAGTTTAATTAGTTTGTGTAAGTGTTCAATGTTAACGAAACAAACTAATCAGTAAGACCACCTGCCAATGACAGTTATAAAAAAAACAGATATAGTTTAGGTGATTTAATAAATTGTGATTGTCCTTTTTTATAATCATATATCAAAATGAAGAACAAATAGAGTCTTTGTTGGATTTCTTCCTAAATTGTTAGCTGTAATATACTGTGGATGCTCAATATAACTATACAGGTAAGTGAGGGACGTCAGCTAGCATTAAGTGACGTGGCCTTAATGCAGTATAATGTCGTGCTCGCTTCCTACCTGAGCTTTAATTTTGAATAGTTATCGTTTAAACAGCACGAGCATGATGATATCGCCTGAAAAACTTTTATCAGCCTTACAATTATTTTACCATCAACATACCAACTACAAAAAAATATCCTCAAAAGAGTAGGTTGTCAAAATGTAATTAAATTGAAACAACACTTATTCTTCGTCACTAAACTCTTGACAGAGTGGTCGTAACCCTCACTTTTTAGTGAGAATGTTGGAAGTTATGGATAATCGTGGTAGGTAGGTTAATAGGTAAATAGGTTAATCATGATTAATGAAAAATAAGATCAGTTTACATTTAATCAAGCATATAGGGTATGCATTCTTTACTGAAAAGGATTACGTTTTGAGAAACGTCCTTGCGCCCGAGAGAGTCGTAAATAACTAATGACCTGAAGGAAACAATATTTATTTTATAATAATTAGGCCTGTGCATGGGGCCTGTGCTTCTTTTCCCACGCATGGAAGTTGTTTTTGTAGTCATAACCGTAGTGTTTGAGAAATTCTAATAGAAAAACGCTGAGTTATGACTGCAATCCACTTCAAAGCCATTAGAGCCAAATGTTGAAGTGACAAAATTATAAAACAAGCTAATCTTACAAACTACGATTCAATTTTGTGCAGAGAATTCAACAGAGAGCTTTTGCAACCACTCCTCCCTTCCGGCTGCGCCTCTGGTACTCATATTATGCAAGCTGTTGCAGCCTTGACCTGGTCAGTCCACCTTTTGGGAGATCTATCGTGCGACCTGACATCCTCTGCCCTGCCTTGCACCACCAGGCAATCGATGAAAAGATCACCACCCCGTGACAATTACATTAATATTTTAAAGAATCGAACCACAACAACATTCGTAAAAAAAATATATATATATATTTCTTAGAAGGGTGGACGAGCTCACAACCCACCTGGTGTTAAGTGGTTACTGGAGCCCATAGACATTTACAACGTAAATACGCCACCCACCTTGAGATATAAGTTCTAAGATCTCAGTATAGTTATAACGGCTGCCCTACCCTTCAAACCGAAACGCATTACTGCTTCACAGCAGAAATAGGCAGGGCGGTGGTACCTAACCGCGCGGACTCACAAGAGGTCCTACCACAAGTAAAAAATTAGTATATTATAATATATTATTAGTATTCAAATTCAAATTCAAAATAATTTATTTCAACTTAGATGTCGGTATGACACACTTGTTGAATGTCCAAATACAAATAACAATGTTAACTCTACCACCGGTTCCAAAAAAAGCCACAGTACTGAGAAGAACCGGCGAAACAAACTCAGCGGGCTTTTTTTTTTGTTTTTTCTCAAATATTTTCTTTTTTTAAATAAATAAAAATATTTACAATAAAGGAAAAAACAAGTCAAAAAAATACAATAAAAAAATAATAATAATAATGAAAAATGAAAAGGCCAGGAGCGAGCGTCTCATTCCCACGTAGTGCCATCTAGTAAATAATCCTTAACTTTATAATATGCCTTGTTGCACAAACGTTCCATGACAATTTTCTTAAATCTATGAACAGGTAGTAATTAAACGTTTAGTGGGATCTTGTTGAAAAGTTGTACACCCAGCCCCCTAAAAGAGTTGCTTATTTTCTTAATTCGAGCCGCCGGCAACGCAAGCCATGTTTGTTCCTAGTGTTCACATTGTGCAAATCGCAGACTCTGGGGAATTCTTCAATGTTTTTACGCACGTACAATAAATTTTCAAAAATGTATTGAGACGCTAAAGTTAGAATTTTGATTTCCTTAAACTTGTCCCTCAAGGAATCCCTCGGGTGCATATTATAAATAGCCCGAATAGCCCTCTTCTGCAGGATGAAAATCGTTTCGACATCGGCAGCATTGCCCCATAGCAAAATGCAATAGGACATAACACTATGAAAATAACTAAAATAAACCAGGCGTGCCGTATCTTCATTAGTATACGTTCGTATTTTTTTTACCGCAAACGCTGCAGAACTAAGTCTACTCGCTAACTTGCATATGTGAGGACCCCACTGCAGCTTGGAATCAACTGTTATACCAAGAAAAACTGTCGAATCCACAAGCTCCAGTGTCTCTCCACTTACAGTAATANTTTACCGCAAACGCTGCAGAACTAAGTCTACTCGCTAACTTGCATATGTGAGGACCCCACTGCAGCTTGGAATCAACTGTTATACCAAGAAAAACTGTCGAATCCACAAGCTCCAGTGTCTCTCCACTTACAGTAATATTAGTGTCTACTTGTCTAACATTAGGTGTGGTAAATTTTATACATTTTGTTTTTTTGTTATTTAATTACAGATTATTAACACTAAACCAATGTAACACGCGCGAGATAGCATCATTCACATCGTCATAATCTTCCAAATGTCGTTTAACTTTAAACAATAATGATGCATCGTCAGCGTAAACTTTGGTAAATCATTGATATATACAAGAAATAGGAAGGGACCCAATATGGAACCCTGAGGAACACCCATATTAAGTAAGACACCGGAAGATCTCGTTCCTTTAACGTCTACCTTTTGGATTCTTCCGGATCTTTGGATTAAAATACGTTTATCATTGTGTTATTTGTGAATAAATTATACGGGATTATAATTGTTTAGTGCTATTTTCTCAAATCGTAATCTCGTATTTACATAGTATACCTACGAAATATTATTAAGTGGGGTTGTGTATTCGTACGTTTTCAATAAATAGTAAATAATACGAAACGACAATTTAATATACGACTTCGCAAAACGGTTCGGAAAATTAAGCTTTAGTGACAACATGACACGCGTATAAATGTACCTATAAATGTTGCGTGGGAAAGCGCGACGTAACGAGATTTTTCACAAAATTTGATTCCCCGCAATTTTGCGCACGGAATAGATTTTTTTTCTGGAAAAACCTTGCCGAGATTTAAATACGACCTCATATGTTTGCAT